TAGTCAAATAATTGCTTCATTTTTTTTTCAGGGCTGTTGCCAAGTCAAATTTCCTTATGTTTGAGAAGTATTTAAGCTTCGAACTACATGCGTCTCAAGAATGTCATCTTTTTGTTTAAATTTTTTTTTTTTAATATGCATGCAAATTCCAAGGGTCTGTAGTTATTATTGTGAGACTGTTGGTGAAATGCATCACTCCTTAATAAGAGAAGATAAGATGTAGCTTCGGAGAGTATTGGTTGTTCCCAGGTGTACTTACCAGCTGCATGTTTTTCATGTTGGTATTTACTTGGTAGTTAAGCTATTATATGGGAAGATACTGGTTTACAACCCTGTGATTATTAAGGATGTTCCCTTTTTATATGTTGATTATTGAAATGTAATTTACTCCTGAATACTTAATCAATTTGTGATTAATAGATTCAAGAGCCTTCAAAGATTTTCGTACATGACATGTTTTTTTTTTTATAATTGCAAGGAAGCATTTATTTTGTGTATTCTGTAAGTCAGGCTATTATAGCACCTTCAATGTGGAGAGGGTACATAATCCTTTATAGCCTTATTTTCGGGAATGTTACCTTCAAATAGAAATTTTTAGAGTGGGAGGGGTGGGGCGGGGGAGCTGCAATATTGCATGCCTTACATGTATCAGTTTCTTTCCCAGATGACGGGGTTTCGTTCTTGCTTTTCGTGGGGTCCTTTAAGGTGGGGGATTGGCTCTGGGACTGGGTTAAATTTTCTTGTGTGTGATAGGTTATGGATGTTCTGATTAATTGTAAATTGTTCTCCCTCAACGTGAAAGGGATCAGGGACAGAGATAAAAGGGAACGCATATTTTTCTGGTGTAAAGATAAAGGGGCGGACATTGTTTTCCTACAAGAAACATTTAGTACTAGCGATTGTGAGGACAAGTGGGCTTCAATGTGGGAGGGTTCTACTTATTTTAGTCATGGTTCTAATCACAGTAAAGGAGTTCTCGTTTTGATTGCGCCGAGGATAGATATTGAGATATTGCAAGTCTTAAAAGACAGTGAGGGTAGATATATTTTTATAGACTGTAAGTTTCAAGGTGTTAGGTTGATTTTAGGCAATGTGTATTTTCCAACAAGAAATTTTGAGAGTGATCAATTGCAATTTCTTCGAAAATTACGCAATAATCTGGCTAAGTTAAATAAAGATAACTACCCGGTTATAATAGGTGGTGATTTTAACATGATTAGGGACATTGAATTTGATTATAACGGGAAATCTTTAAACAGGATTTCGAAAAGATTTAATCGAGAATTTGAAAAATTCATGGAAGATTTGCAGCTTTTGGATATTTGGAGATGTAGGCATTCTTTAAAAAGGCAATTCACTTATATGCAAAACAATCCCTTTATGCAAAGTAGACTAGATTACTGGATAATATCAGAATGTCTAGAGGAAATGGTTATGAAGTGCGATATAATTCCATCTGTTGCCCCTGATCATCATTCAATATTTTTACGTTTATTTGACAAAACAGTCAATAAAACGAATGGAAGAAAAGGGTCATATTGGAAATTCAATAATAGTTTATGTGAAAATGAAGATTATGTTAGAGAGTTAAAAAAGAAAATTTGTCAATTAAAAAACGAATTGCAAACTAAAATAAAAGACAAAAGGTTGTTATGGGATTTTTTAAAAATGAAAATTCGGAGCTTTACACAAAAATTTTCAAAAAAATTGGCTGATCAAAGAAGAACAATAAGAACAGATTTAGAAAAAGAAATACAATGTTTAGAACAACAATTGACGGAAAGCACTAATGCAGATACTTTAGAAAAATTGGAAAATACAAAAAAGAAATTAAAGGAAGTTTATAGCTATGTAAATGAAGGAATTAGGATTCGATCACGAGCCTCGTGGTACGAAAGCGGAGAAAGGGATTCGCGTTATTTCAATCAATTAATGCAAAATAACAAAAGAAAGAGTACTATTAAAAAAATTAAAACCTCAGATGGTGCTATTTGCTGCGATGAAAAAAGGATAACTGAAGAAATCCGGAAGTTTTACAGCATGTTGTACAGTAAAGTAGAGTACGAGTGCTCGGATAATTGTTATAATAGTTTCTTTCAAGGTTTACCGAAATTGACTGAAAAATCTCGAGAATACTGTGAAGGATCTATAAGTAATAAAGAATGCCTAGAAATCTTAAAAGAATTAAAACAGAACAAATCACCTGGAAATGACGGTTTTTCTTCAGAATTTTATCGTACCTTTTGGCCGAATATTGGAGATTTAGTTAAAGATGCCTTGAATGAAGCATATAGATTAGGAGAATTAGCATCGTCTCAAAAACAAGCTGTAATTACGTTAATCGCTAAAGATGGGAAAGATCCCTTTTCACTGAAAAATTATAGACCCATTTCCCTTCTTAATGTCGATTATAAAATCTTAACAAAAATTTTGGCTAAGCGAATCAAGAAAGTATTAAATGAGATCATTATGGGAGATCAGGTGGGCTACATGAAAGGGAGGAATATTGGTGAGGCCATTCGCATTATAGATGATATTATTTTTCATACATCCCGTTACAATTTATCTGGTTTTTTGTTAGCTGTAGACTTCGAAAAAGCTTTTGACTCAATTTCACATCAATTTCTTCAAAAAGTTCTGTCGTCATTTGGTTTCGGTCCGTCCTTTCAAAAGTGGGTTAAAGTTTTATACATGAACACTCTAAGTTGTGTATTAAATGAAGGAGGGTCCACTGGTTATTTCAAAGTAGAAAGGGGAGTAAGACAGGGAGACCCTCTTTCTCCGTACCTCTTTATCTTGTGTATTGAAGTAATGGCACACAAATTACGAATAGATAAATTGGTGGACGGAATTAATTTTGGAGATAAGGAAACTAAACTAGTACTTTATGCGGATGATATGACAATTTTTGTTCGCAATAAAAAATCAATTAATAGGTTAAAAGTATTATTTGCAGATTTCGAAAAAATTTCTGGACTGAAAATAAACAACGACAAGACTAAAATATTAAGGTTAGGTTCATGTCAACGTTTAGATTGTGATTTTGCTTTTGGCGAAATAGTTGACTTTCTTAAGGTTTTAGGGATTTTCTTTTCCCTCGATGAACACAAGAAAGAAGATCTAAATTATAAAGAAATCTTAAGTAAAATAAAAACACTTTTAAATTTTTGGAAGCAAAGGGATTTAACACTTATGGGTAAGATTCAACTATTGAAAGTGCACATTTATTCTAAAGTTCTTTATCGGGCGTCACTTACTCCTGTTCCAAAATGGGTTTATGATTCACTGGATGAATTAACTTTTGATTTCATATGGAAAGGAAAAACAGATAAAATCAATAGAAACACCATGTTCTTAGACTATAACCAAGGGGGGTTAAAGATGTTAAATTTTTCTGCACAAGTTAAATCGCAGCGAATTATGTGGATTCAAAAACTTCTAAAAAAAGATGAAGACATGAAATGGAAACAATATTTTAACTTTGTCACTGAACACGTGGGTGGAGATTTGATATTTTCATGTGACTATATACCAAGTTTATTAAAAGTGACAGCTCCACAATTTTATAAGGATTTATTAGAAGATTGGGTGAATACGAGACATATAAGGAGTATAGACATTGGTGATGTGGTAATTTTTAATAATAAACTTATTCGATATAAAGGAAGTTGTATATACGATAAGAGGTTGTATGACAAAGGAATTTACAAATTAAAACATATTCTGGAAAACGATGGTAAACTAAAAAGTGACAGGCATTTTATCGATTTAGGTGTTGAAGTAAATGAAATTGAAAAGATCAAGCACTTTTATACCTGTTTACCAGTTTGTTGGAAAAATAATTTTAGAAAGGGAGAAGAAAAAAATAATTCTGGAACTGATTTCACTTTGGGGAAGAAAACAACTAATATAGCTGATTTAAAATCAAAACAAATTTATGTACAATTAATAAAGAAAGATGATTTTAAACCTTTGGTTTTTGAGAGAATTGGAAGGAACTATGGTTTTTCCTGTAAGGAAATAGAAAACATATTTTTAAGACTAAGACAGTGTACACTTAACAGTCGATTAAGAGAGTTTCAGTTCAAACTTATACATAATATATTATATACAAACCATCACCTCTTCCGTTTTGGTCTTGTCTCGACTAACTTATGCTCATTTTGCGAAAAAGATGAAGAAACATATAAACATTTATTCTATACTTGTGAATTTGCACAATCAGTGTGGGAAATGTGCACGAGATTTTTAGACTTTGAAATACATAACTGTAGTTTGGAGGAAATTCTGTATGGGAAAGAGGAGAGAAATAAAGGAAAATATCAATTAATGAATCATGTTTTAATTCTTGTTAAATATCTGATTTATAGAAATAGAGAACTTAAAAAACCACCCTCTTTTAATGAAATAAAGAATAGTATAATAGGGGATAAAGTAGAAGAAAGGAAATTGGCAGCAATGAGGGGAACTCTCACTATTCATTTTTCTAAATGGGAAAACCTGAGTATTAGACAAACAATAAGGAACCCAGAGCCAGTCGTCCACCGGTTAAGAGGGGGGGGGGGGGAATGGGGATAAGGGAGAGGTCGGGTAGGGTAGGGTTAACAAAAAGAGAAAACTTTTCTCTCAGGACAACAGTATAAAAAGAAGTATAAGTTGCTACATTGTTAAAACAAAAAAAAATTGGATTATACAACTGCATATGTTTTCTTTGAAAATATGAATTTTTGTTTCAAATATGATGTATAGGAACTAACTATGTAAGTTTCTTTTGAAGCCGTTTGTAAGACAAAAATTTATACTGATTTATAATGTCATCACATTTGCAGTGAGAGTTATGATGATTGCAATTTGTACTATGATTATAATTTGTTTCAAGAGAGAAAAGAATAAAAACTGACCATAAAAAAAAAAAATAAAGCGATCAATTGATCGATCAATCAAACGATCAATCACACCACCACCCACCCACACCCATATTATTTTAACCAAACACTTACGAAGCGTAACTTTTCACGCGTGCGGCAATGAATTCCTTTAGGTCTTCATCGGTGGCTCTACACTCAGCGATCCCATAGTAGTCAGTGGCATTATGGCAGTACACGGCGTCCTGAACTGTGTAGCCACCTGGTGGATTAAATGTGGGATATAGCTTTGTTTATGGTGAGAAGAGTGAGCAATTGGTTTTAATCTGGTTGTAGGTTATGCAAAGCGTCAACCCTGAATAGATTTTTAGTTAATGCGTTCTCACTAACGGTAAATAACGTTAACAATATTTTTGACCGAAAGAAATACACTGTACTTATTATTTATTATCTTATAATAACAATTTAAGAATATAGATTCCCCAATCGGTGCCTGTTGGTCCCCCATGATCCTCTTTTTCTTACGTTAGTTGAGAGCTGATTCAATGAGATAGCCACCTGTCAGTGACCTCGCTGTGTGGTGTAATCCCTTCTGGTGCTGTAATATAGGAATATGCCCTACAGAAAAGTGGCCTTAGTCACCCAAATAAAAGAACTCACCGTAGTTGGTGGGATCCAGAAGACCACTCTTGATGCCCTGGATGAAGTCAGTGTCGAGTGCCGCCTGCGCCTGCACCTGACTTTTGTCCCATAGCCAGTCGGCTAAGGGCATCGCCTTTACCCCGTCCGGGGAGTCGACGTTGGTCAACTTTGCCGGCCCCTTGCCCGACTGTAGTAAGGCGGCCACCGCAGACGGCAGGTGTTTGACCATGGCCGCTGTGCTGCGCGGACTGCGGACATTTCGGGGGCTTCTCTTCAATGCCGACATGTTTTAGATAACACTTCAATCTTTTGGGCTGTTTAGTCTTGAAGGCCTGTTAGTGCAACCACAGCTTAAGAGCATAGACTGTACGGTATCTGCTTTGATTCAAACAAAACTATGGGTCTGATCGCAGAGAAGATCGCTGAGTGTTATAAAACGAGCAAGGTTTTATTAACACTGGCTTTTAAACTGAGAGCGTGTCAATAACATTAATGATTAAATAACCTACCCGGATGCGCGCAACCTTAATTTTCATGGAAACTCGATCAAGTTCATATACCGCGGTTTTCCCCAAACTGTTCTCTTTTTTAGCAATAATGTGATCGGTTTATTGTTAGTGTATGTTTACAGGTATTGCTGCGTGACGACTTGGCAGTGCAAGTAGGCGGTGCTTAGTGCGTGCAGTGATCGACCCAGACTGGCAGGGTGCGCGTGCGCAGTTGCATTTTAAGACCTCATAGTCCAGCGGATAGGTGGAAGTATTGTGCAATTTGTGGTAAAAGCATGAAACTCTGTACAAACGTACTTTATACCAAAACATGCAATTTTAGATATGATGTCATCTCTGATATGGCCTGTGGTGGCCTTGGCGGCCATTTTTCAAAAGGCCTCCAAAGTCTGATATAAAACTACATACCTTTGTGCATGTGCACACTCAATGAATTGTACCCTCTTTGTTATTCAGTTTTGCGCCAATTTGGAATTCACGAAGTAAAAGAGGCTTCGTGGGTCTTCTCTTTACAACTAAATGATCATTTTTCTTTTGTAGCAGCTGATCTTCCTTGTTTGGATAGATGTAAATTGCCTGCATTTTTACCGTCGCATTGTACTTGTCCAATGGCCATTGTACTCTATCCAGCCTTTTGAAGTATACAAGCAATTGCAGTCTCTTAATCAACGTAAAGCTGGGATTTCTGGAGACCTACCTGTAAAAATAATACGAGAATTTGCTTACGAATTGTGTATCCCAATGACTGACATTCTGAATGTCTCGTTTTAGAGCTCTATTGTCCCCCTACTCTGGAAACAAGCTGAAATAGTACCCATTCCTAAGTCACAATCACCCACGTTGCAAAATTTACGCCCTATTTCACTCACTTCTTACTTTGCAAAACTTGCTGAATCTTTCATATGTAAATGGTTACTGGAAGATATTACCAGGCATATTGATTTTAATCAGTATAGAAATCGGCCTGGCTTTAGCACTAACCACTATTTGATACCACTTCTTCATCAAATAAATGCCAACGCGGATGAACCCAAATCTTTATCCACCATCATACTTACCGACTTTTCGGCGTTTGATCGCATCGACCATAATATTGTAATCAACAAATTGATCCATCTGCAAGTTAGGCCATGTGTAATATCATGGATACTGAGTTTCCTCGAGTTGCGTCAACAAAAGGTAAAATATTTTGGTCAGTTATCTAATGTGAAAACTATCAATGCTGGTGTTCCGTAAGGTACCAAACTTGGTCCCATTCTATGTATTGCAATGGCTAATGATGCCTGTCATGATGTTAACTTACCAATTTATAAATATGTTGATGACTTCACTATTGTAGAAAGCCGGAAAGTAACATCTCAGTCTAAACTACATTATGCTATGCTATCACTGATCTATAAACAATGGTCAGCTAAAAATAACAAGACATTGAATCCGTCCAAGTGTTTCTCTATGGTTATAACATTTATGAAAAATTGTGTAGAACAAACTTCAATTTTCATTGGCGAAAAAGAATTAATTCATGTTAATCAAGCCAAAGTCCTCGGAATAATTTTACAATCAAACCTAAAGTGGGATAGTCATGTATCCGATCTCACAAAAAGGTGTAGTAGGAAGTTGTTTATGTTTCGTTGTCTTAAGAAGTATGGATTGCCTCAAGATTACCTTTTACTTGTATATAAAGGATACATTCGTCCGATTTTAGATTAGGGGGTACCGGTTTCCAACGGTAACTTAACAAAAACTCATGTATATAATTTAGAACGGATTCAGAAATGAGCTTGCAAAATCATTTTAGGACGTCGGTATGATTATGAAGCAGCATTGGAAACGTGCAATCTACTTTCATTAGAAACAAGACGTGAGCAGTTATGTATAGACTTTGCCATTGCTCTTCCAAGCACCCACAATTTAAAGAATGTTTACCTCTTGGACAACAAAGCACTTATTCTCTAAGATCTCAATTTAAGTTTAAACAATACCAATGTAAAACAAAACGCTTCCAGTGCAGCTCTCTTCCTTACTTTATAAATCTTCTGAATACCAATATAAATTGTATTATGAGAATTTCACAGTCCATGATTGAACTATGTGAATGACTTTTGATAGTGTCTATCTCGATTTTATTCATTGCTAAATATTTCTTGCCATCTCCCCTCATCTGTAATGATAAAGTACTCTTTGTCTGTCTCTTTCCCTCTTCATCTCTCTGTCTGTCTCTCTCTCTCTTTCCGTCTCCCTCTTTCGTCCCCCTTCTCTCTTTCTCCTTCTCTCTCTTTCTTTCTCTCTTCCTCTATTTCTCTCTCTTTGCCATCACTCCAACTCTCCCTTTCCTACACCTCTCCCTTTCTCTATACTGTTTTAACAAAGATTTGAATTTTGATCAATGAATTTTTATGAAATGTTTATATGTTTGATTTTGATTTATGTCATATTTTGTGTTATTTCAACTTTGAATTCTAATTGTATTGTATCTTTGTGAAATGGATCGTAATTCAGCCATTGGCTGCGATGATCGTTTAAATAAAAAATAAAAAAATTCTATCTATCATCTATCTAACTAACAAAGTATTGAACTCTATCATTTCGAAAGAAATAATGTCGTTATAGTGGAATGAAATGTAGATAGGGATGAATCGAACATCGAAGGGTTTTACATTATATACGCTCAATCCAAAGGCATTAAAAATAAACACGTTTTAAATATTAAAAAACCTGAACTTGTAAAAAAAAAAAAAAAAAAAGGTAAATGTCGGGCTATGGAACGATGAGGATACAATTTATGGCTCTTTATCTAAAGTAAATCCGTTCAACAATAATTATGAATATACATAAACATATAACAATATACATATTTTGGAACGTGGAGGTGCACGATTCTCATGAAAGAAAAATATGAACATTATTTGGAAAGAGTGCAAAACACCTTTCAAGTCCATTGTATATCAATAGAGTCTTTTGAATGATTCGATGTGATTCAATGCGCAATCGTGTCATGATAAACCACACTGTGTCACTTTTGTACACGCCCCGCACGTAAATCACGTACATGATTTTGCGTGGCATTCTATGAGTTATTTTGTCTTGGATTCCCCTTTTGATAATGTGGCGCCTGTTTGTTGGCATCGCTTGAAATAATGAACTATGTAGTAAAGTACATGTTTACACTCCATGAATGATAATCTCTCTGTTATTCAGTTGTGACCAAAATAATGAAGTAAAGAAGGCTCCCTGGCAAATCTCTTTACAAATAGCTGAACTTGATATTGAACTCTAACTTTTCGAGAGAAAAATTGTCGTTATAAATGGAATGGAATGAAATATAGAGAGGGATGAACTTTATACCCACAAATCTATGTTGGTAAACTATATTATTTACAAAAACGTGCAATACGACTAATAAAAAAGAGTGACTTTCGTAGTCCCAGTCTACCATTATTTCTTAAACAAAAAAATATCCCGGTGTTTGAAATTGTAAAACTTGATATATCAGTTTTCATGTTTAAAGAGAAGGTTGAGTTCTGGGATGAGGTGAAAATATTTTGTAATATGCAAGTGTGGAAGAACATCAGAGAAAAAAATGTTCCTTGAGGAGCATGGCTCTTCAAATGCCTTCATTTTCTAAATATGACAAGTAACATCTTAAAAATAGGACCCGATTTTTATGTCATCTTTATGTGTACAGTGCGTGTTACTCTACCAAGACTGGGACAACTTTATTATCATTTTGATGACCCCAGAACCTTCAGTACACACCAATACTTAAATGCTATATGATCAACTTTTCCCAATCGATTCCACACCGTTTCCTTCACAATGCAATCGCATGACCAAAACTCAATTTTATCTTTTAGAATCACAAAGGGATTCTCCCATTATTTTCCGATAATATGTTTAGAACTAATTTTTCATTCCATATGTTGTAGCACACTCGTATACGAGATTATCTTTCTTCCCATTGCTCGTTCAACTATAAAAACCCATATTATCCGTTTTACAGGAGTACATGAATGGAATTCAATTTGTAATAACCCTAAATCCAGCTCTACACTTTCTCGTTTTAGAACTCTATTCAAACGTTACATCCTTGACCCTTTCGTATCCTTCTTCTTTCTCACCTCTTCTCCCCCCCCCCCCCCACTCAGTGTTATTTAGGGTACGCATATGCGTGTTCCCAGCGACCCTCCCACCCCCCCCCCCCTCCTTTCAGCTAAAGTCCGGTGTGTATAGTCAATACGGGTCGACTTTTTTCTTTTATTATACGAGCCTTTTTCAGCACCCCCGTCCCCCTCCCTTTCAGCAAAAGTCCGGTTTGTAAAGTCAATACGGGTAGAGCTTTTTCTTTTGTTACGAGCCGGGGAGTTTGGGAACACGCATGGAATCCATCCGTTCACGGAGTGGGTGGCCGGGCCTCTTCCCTTTCTTCTCTTGCTCATTTTGGACTCTCCCTTTCATTTGGTATTGCTCTTGTGTGTTTGTGTGTGATTGTGGGTGGCGCTATAGCTCAGTCGGTAGAGCAGTGGTCTCGTAATCTGGTGAGCCTGCTTCGAAACCAAGTCGATGCGCTATTGCCCCTTGATAAGGCATTAATCCTCATTACCAGGTCCGTCGACCGGCTGGATGCTTACTAACATTTGTGCTTTGTTAGCAGTCAGGTAAAATAACCACCACCACCACCACAATATACACTGTAAGTTGGTCATAAAGGTGCAATCATTTTGTTTTACCCTAATTTATGAAATGATTTTGACAATGATTTATTCTTAATAGATCTAGATAACAGTATACATGGCCAACCAGGCCATTACTTTGCCACTGAATCATGACTATACACAATGGGAACTAGCGTAGGGGGCAGCCCCCCCACAATAAAAAATAAAAATAAAATAAAATGCAATAAATTATCAATAATTCATTGCATTTCCCCCGCTCTTCAACATATACAAATCCTC